GGTGGACAATAAATAGAATGGCCCATAGTGTCATGCCTCTGACATAACAGAGGAATAGAAGTTCCAATGTCAATCTCTCTTTAAATGTCATTTCTCAACAATTATCCTAGCCCGCGTGCAGGCCCAAGGGAGCAGGCTGAAGGGAACTTGATAGTGCAAGCAAGGCCCGGTATTTTGTACTTTCCGCGTTCGCCCATGAACGCGGCATTCTGATTGGCTGTTTGCTGTTGGATTCTATAATTAGGTCAGTGATTCATCACAAAGGCATAGACAAAGGCTCTCGATAAGCTTAAAATTCGAAAATTGATCACTTTTATCGATTACAAATGGAACAAGAACAGACTGTTTATTGTTTACTTGAAGGAAGATATGTTTTTGCCGTTATGCCAATGAGGATTGCTTGTCGTGAGGTGTTGGAATAGCAACATTTAATACGAATGGGGTATAAAACTATAGTAACCTTTACTTGAGTTTCATTAATTTCAAACAGACTTTATACGTTATATGTTCCTCAAGAAAATTATCTTTTGGTTGATGTTGAGATGCAGTTGCATGTAAGCCTATTCAAAATACTTTGCGATTTACAAGGCTTCGCTGAGAGAGCAAAAGATAAGACGGTATTAAATTGCCGTTTGAAACGAAACGATCTGGACTCTGAACGCTCTCTTCTTTTGTAGAGTTCTCACCAAATGAAATAACTGAAATAAATTTCGTACACGTACTTTCCGCCGTCAATAAGAATTGCACACATGATCTGATAAGTGAGACAATTTATTTATAACAATGGCGACAGCGAAGCAACATTATAAATGCTGATGTGGTCGCACGACTTCCCTCACGATTTGAAGTTTGAGACTGGTTTTCTGTTGAAATTCGTCTTAATTTGCCTGTTCCGATTTTAGTTGAAAATGAGCACTTGTAAATTTGGCAATTACTGACTGCGTTGTTTTTTTTTTTGGAGTTTTAACACAGACATTTACACATTGTTTCTATTTTGAATATTAAAGCAGAGAAAACCCCGCAACATTTTAATGCGAGTTTGTTTGTTAATATTTGGGTTGCTGTCATTGGTTCTTTTTTGACAATTGACGCGCGAATGGGGCGTGTTATGAAAAGGGGCGTTTTACAAAATACCGGGCCTTGCTTGCAGGCCCACTATCAGTTCCCTTGGGCCTGCACGCGGGCTACAATTATCCATTTCTGTCTATAGTTTTTGAAGTAACAATCCATAGAATATTTCGAGCTGTCAGGATGGCACGACTTGTTGGTGTAACTGTATAAATCAGCACATAAATTCCAATGACTTTATGCCTGTGTATATGCCTTAATTGACTCCACCACAAATATGGATCATGGACACATTTTACTACTAAGGTTCCAATGACCAGATGTTATCTGAAGTAACATAATTTGGAATGGAAATTAAATATACACTCTATAATCTATATATACAGTTGACTGGATATTATAGAGTTCACTGACACTCGGATTGAGAAGGTATTTCAGGATGATTGAATGAATCCGAATATGCAAAATAAATGCAAAATAAATGCAGATTAATCTGTGTATTGAGCAATCATGATCAACTATTTAGACTCAATACGTTAACTGGCAAAAAATGAACATTCACAAAGTAAACAAAGCTTGTAAATATATATATAAAATTGGATTTTACTCAACTTACCTCAAAACATGTAACTCTCTGACAGCTCTCCGAAAAAGGACTCAAACTCTCAAAGGAGTTCGGGAAGCATCGATAAAAAAGAACCGCACCCCCCACTTTTTATAATAACTTTGCATACTTAAATACTTCCGGTTTGAAAATCGGACATCCATTTGAAAACGCAAGTCGAGATTTGGAACGGCTTTACATAACTCGGCCAAAGACACTGGGCACGAGTGAATGCGAAGAACTTCATGTTACGCCAAGAATAGTGTGCTGCTTTCCTGAGGGCAAGCAGCAACTATATACATGTTTGACGTAAACGGAATGTTCAAGTATTAAATTACGTATAGATTACATATATATACAGATTATATTAAGTAATGTATACATTACATAAAAAATTACAAAAAATTAGGGAGTATATCTATTGTCTATTTACAACATTTATATATATCTATTATTATAAATCTATATTCAGTCGACTTTCAAGTTTACTGAATTAAGAAGGTTATATTACATGAGGTATATAAAACACTCGTTGTCGTGTTTTATCAGACATAAAACGCTCTGCTGCGCCTTGCGTCTTATATCTGATAAAACACTCCTACTCGTGTTTTAAATAGTACATGACTTGCCGTATTTTGTGCCGTGTCGAACCTAACCAAAACTTGCCGAATTTAATTTATTTAGACGCGGCTCATCTGTCGTAGCTACCGCGTTAAGGCGGATTTCCAGACCTCGCACGAAGCTCCTCGCTGCGAGTGCATGCATGAGCACTTTCATCCAATCACAATGCTAACTACAGTTAATTTTAATTAGATGGAAGCACTCGCAGCGAGGAGCTTCGTGCGAGGACTGGAAAACCGCCTTAAATCGCTGTATTAGGTTCGGTGCACGAAACGTTCGGCGGTTAAACCGGGCCTACGATGTCAGGTAATGAATTGAGGGAAGCGAAAATAATGCGAAATATACCTTATCGATTATTCTCTTTTACCCAATTGCCTCGTTTTCATGTCAAATGTTTACTCATGTTTTGCGCTTAGTAGGGTTGAAAATTACTTTGTTATTGAGCCTAAAAACAGCAAAGAAACAAATTCGTCCAGGAAAACATGGGAATATAATCTTTATCTGCCCGTAGCTGACATGCTAAAATAAGTTAACATGGAAACGAAGCCATTAGGTAAAAGAGAACAATCGGTAAGGTCTATTCGGCAAAAATTGCAAACCGTGTGATCTGGTTAGTTGAGATATGAACAAACCGACCGATAAAAACCGAGAAAACTCTTGGCCGATCAAATCGTCCGACTAAAATTTCTAAGAATGATACCGCGCGCTCAGGCAAGGATTTCAATTTATTTTTCATCGGCCGACTGACTTCTCTGTGAAATAGTGTTGGTGTTCTTTTGGACTGGGCCCCCAATTCAATGTTGAGCTTCATGTGTCGTGCATGGTAAATTACAAAACGTTATTTCGGGTGATTGTTTAAACAATGAATTTGGGAATTATTCCTTAATTATTTCTACATAATCGTCCATGCAGCTGATTCCGTTATCAAAATAACCTCCTTCGGAACGTATTGTGTATCATTAAAATTCCAGACTCAAGATCTTTGCTTGCACTTCAATTAGTGCATCTTCCTGCGTTTCGGATCTTTCTATTCGCTTAAAGATACCTTCGGCTTCTTTAAGGTGATACAATACCTTAGAATTATCTCCGTATTCTTCCTCGGTGAAAGTGTCTGCCAATGTTTTGTGAATATCCAATCGTATGTTGTCGCTAACTGACTTTCTAGCACACAACTCTTCGACTTTTCTGAACGTTTCGAATGCACGAACAAGATTCTTCAAACCTCCGTAACATAGAGCAATGTGAAGAACACATTGTGTTTCATGATCTGCTGACTGGTTAACCGCAAAATATTCCAACGCTTCTTGGAAGTAAGGCAGTGCTTTCTGATATTCTTGATGTT